AAAATACTTAAACAGCGGTGGAGGCATTACCTCTGAAAGAGATCCATTTATCCCTGACATGAACCATGGGAAAGAAGAGAACTCCATGCATGGATCAGCTGAACCTGACGTAATGATGACGATGTCAGGCGAATGTGCACCATTAACTAATAGATAACAATAACAAATATAGCCGTGTAGTTGGGTACCCTGGAACCATTATTATGATACACATATCGGATATGCTTAAATACATGGTTAAAAATAAGTGAACTTCTCGCTGATTAGCGAATGGGCTGATGACAAGGGTTCTCGAAATATTGCAATTAAATAAACATTCCTTGGATTTTAACTACCGGTAATTGATTCTGAAAAAGGAACAGTTTGTTAAAGCTATTTCCATATGTTTATGATTAATCTCATGCGCATTTTTTTTTTTTAATTTCATAGAAGACTTACGTATTTGAATAGATCTATCATTTCCTTTCAACTAAATATATCTATGAAATAAGTTAATCTGTATTTTTGCTTTCGAAGTCTTCTGAGTAGGAACGTCCTGTCTTGTTTGTATTTTGTTGTTGTGTTTGTTTGTTTGTTTTTTTTTTTTTGTATTGTCCTTCAGTTTTTTTTTTCTCTATCCATTGCATATTTCTTATTGCTTCAACCTGAATGTAGTCCTTTCCGCCTTACTCTTCTATACTCCACCTCAAAGACGTACCACCCTCCTACACTGTAGTGCTAAGGTGGTCAAGTTGTGTAGTCTTAGCTTTCTGGGTGATATCTGAGCTATTTTATAATATGGCGATACATTTTTGTCAGCGCATCTTACAATATTGTTTAATGTGTCGACATTCTTAGATTGGCAGTCGATAGATTAGAGAAGTTGTATTTATTATTATGACCTAGTCTTGCCTTTGTCCTCCAGGGTTGTACTACTGCAGCTGTGTCATCTCGTTATATTTAGTAACAGTTATTTATATTTGATACTTTGTTACATGAAGAGAAACAATAATTCATGTAGAACGTGTTAATGATAAAATAAATGACTCGAGGTCAACAATATGAGAACGTTTCAAAGGCGTAAGTTGATAACAAGATTATCAAATCTTTAATTGATAGTGCATACATTAAAGATATCTTGCTATCGAAATGAGACGAATCTTTCAAAATTTCATTTCTTAGAAAAAGTATATTTACAATTCAGACCTTCAAGGTATTTCAAGGTTGCGACCTGCGAATTTGTTCAACACAAAATTATCGAAGTGGCGATTATTTGCTCAACTCTGATCGAAAGTACTTCTTCACACAGAGATGGGCCAATATGACCAGCAATATCATGTCACAAATTTCTCGGGAGGTGGGAGGGGGTTGTAAAAAGAGCTGACAGGCAACAGTCCCATTGTTTTTTGGGCAGATCACGTTTTACTAGGGAATGTTCATGAACTGTTCCACGTGTTGAATGCTAATCGTGAACGTAGTGTGTCAACATGCACGCGATCTTATTCCTCTTGTCAGCTGACTTTCAATTGGGTCTCAGCTGCGACGTAGCGCAAGAATGGTTTAATGCTAATTTTGTATTCCACGCAAAAAGCTACCAATTCTCTTGTAAAGCACTAGCACTGAAGTAAAGCACCAAAGTAAAGCACCGAAGTATAGCACCAAAGTAAAGGCACCGTTATAGCACCAAAGTACAGGATTGTACAGCACCGAAGTAAAGCACCGAAGTATAGCACCAAAGTACAGCACCAAAGTACAGCACCAAAGTAAAGCACCAAAGTAAAGCGCTGAAGTACAGCACCAAAGTACAGCACTGAATTACTGCATCGAAGTACAGCACCAAAGTACGGCCCCAAAGTTCAGCACCAAAGTAAAGCACCAAAGTAAAGCGCCGAAGTACATCACCAAAGTACAGCATCAAAGTACTGCATCGAAGTACAGCATTGAAGTACAGCATTGAAGTACATCACAGAAGTGCAGCATCAAGATACAGTATTGAAGTACAGCACCGAAGTACAGCATTGAAGCACAGCACCGCCGTACAGCATTGAAGTACAGCATCGAAGTATAGCACCGAAGTACATCATTCATTTACAGTACCGAAGTACAGCACCAAAGTACAGCATCAAAGTACAGCACCGAAGTACAGCACTGAAGTACAGCCCCGAAGTACAACAGCGAAATATAGCATCGAAGTATACTACCGAATCACAGCACCGAAGTACAGCACGGAGATTTAGCACCGGAGTAAAGAACCGAAGCACAGCTCTAATGGACACTTTAAGGGTTTCTGTAATTAAACCTTGTCTGCAGCTTCATGATTTTTTTATTTTTTTTTAACTCCTTCAAAGAAAAAGATCGATTATTTTAATCAAGTAAACCATTTTCTCGTTGATTTGAAAATACAACTTAGCTACGCCGGTATACACATCATATCGATTTGTCTTTTCCTTGGCACGTGGAATTAGAACCACAGATGATGCACAAGATAATCTCTCATTTGGGCACTGACGCGTTACATGATCATTACTTTTAGGATCATTGCAATCTTTAACTTTCACTCTGCTCATTTTTGATTTCTTTAATGTTAAATTCAGTAAATTTTCATATAGAACAAAGTAAAAACTGTAAAGAGCAACAAAAAAAAAAATGTTAAATAAACTTTAAATTAAACAGCAGCTAACAAAAAATGTTTTTCATATAAATCCTTTATATGCATTTTTAATTTTATTTTTTATTACTATTCTAATGTCCCAACCCGCTTTCACACCGCAGATTTATACCACACAACGGTATCAGACAAACAAAAGAACGTAGCACGCACCAAACGCATTGGCGATATTTTTTAAGAATCTCACTTTGCACAGTTATCGGGAATTTTATTTCGTGAAATCAGTGGCATCATCATATTTCAACCCTTTTTTCCTTTGAAAAACAGGAAAAACAGATATATTTTTTTTTTGGGGGGGGGTGGGAGGGGGGTCGGGGGTGCTGATAATTTGAAAGAATGTGTTGTCATCGGCAAAAAATCAATGTGCCGAGTTTCAGCTCGACTGTTTGACCTGGAGTGGGTCGATTGGCCGTCCGAAGAATGAGCCAGACACCTAGACAGAAATGAAGAAACATATGGACATAAGCCAAGTTAATATAATGGATCTAATCAACATATTGGAGTTGTTTTTGTTTTTTTTTATATTCATATTTGAAATAAAAAAACTAATTTTGTTTTTATTTCTAAAGACCTCAGTTGATTGCGTAGAGCTACACGTAGAACATTTTGGTCAAAATGAGTCCAGCCCTTTTAAAAGGTTTCTCAAGAAGTGCTTCGCGACATCAAGCAGCTTTTGGCAGCCTGGAGGCCATTCACGCAGTCTCTCTTGTCAATTGCTGAAAATTATTGCCGGCTTTATTTTCTTCTACGTGACTGCTGCCGCTGGATTATGGGATTATGAAGGCAAATTGAACAATTTATTTGTCCACGTGACTACAATTCCTTTGTCACGTTTTCGAGAAATCGTCCGACTTTTGACGTGTTCTGGTGTTCTGCTTAAGTAATCTTTTAAATCTTCACATTTCTTTGCTCTGCTTATGTAATCTTTATGAACATAACAACATATGTTGGAAAAATAGGGTATCTTCGTACTTGATGTAGAAAAATAATTTCATATAATCCACATTTGACAGCTTGGTGTTAGGTAAAGCGCATGGGAAATGATCACGATCAAGTTATCGAAACACGTTTGGAAAGCTTTAATATCATTGTTAGTGGCTGACTGTTGCGCCTTCATCCAACGCCTTACATAGTCTTCCACCCACCCACCCACTCACCCACCCCATCCACTCACCTACCCACTCACCCACTCACCCACCCACCCACCCACCTCACCCACTCACCCACCCACACACCCACTCACCCACCTTACTCACTAATCCACCCCACCCACACACCAAACACCCACTCACCACTCACCCACCCCACCCACCCACATACCTACCCACCCCACCCCCTCACCCACCACACCCACTCACCCACCCCACCCACCCACATACCCACCCACCCACCCCACCCACTCACCCACTCATCCACTCATCCACCCACTCACCCACTCACCCACTCACTTTAGTTTTGGAATCGTAAAGAAAAGGGAAGGTTAAAAATGATGTCCCTCAATACGGGCCTCATTAACCATGGAATCAATACCTAACAGGCCATTTCATGTTCAGATTGTGTATAGAGATACAGACATGTACTGGACTCATATGTTGGAAACGAGTACGGTATACATTAGAATAGACACGGTGACGTAAGTTGAATGAATGGCATGTGTATGGAGAAGTGGAGTAAGTGTGCTTCCAAAAACAGAGAGTTCTCATTATCATTGCACTGATCTGAATACATCAATACCGATGTGACTGAAGCCCTTGCCTGTGATGTGTGGTTGCACTTTCACCATCAGATGGTACACATCACCTAGCTAACTGGTACTGAGGTCTTGAGGTCAAGTGAAGGACGTAGTTAATTGGTGGCCAGTTATGTGTGTGATATGAAGGCGACGAAAGTAATCCCTCTGGTTTGAGTGGATTAAAGGGATTCAAAAAAAAAAAAAAAAGAAAATAACACCTCTTTTTGGTATCAATCCAACGTCTTGGTGCACCGTGCCTGGTACGAGCTATCTACAAGTGTTCAATATACTTTTTTGGGGCGCGCAAGAGATAACAAAATAAAGACGTTAGGGACAGGAGATATACATTGTTATTGCACAGAATTGTAACGGCCAAAGTTGATTAACAAATATCGCCCGTATGCCAACAGTCTCATTTTGTATTTGATATACTAATAGCATCATACATATACTAAGAGTATCATTCATTGTTTGGCGGGCTATAATCTTGGTGTGATAAATCGTCTGCGCGGTAAAAAGCGCGTGGGACATTAGAATATCAATGTAGTTTAGGGGCGGTGGCGTACCTGTCAGGGTGTTTCTTGAGTGCAGGTTTTGTCAAGTAACTTTACCAGATTGGAAGTTCAGGCCTGTCAGCCGGCATTGTTTGGCTATTGCTTGTTTAGAAAAGGTCTTAAACCATGAATCTAAGGTTCAATATAACCAACTTGCATAAATTATTCTATCTTTTGATAATGTTTGATTATTGTGCTGAAGTTGACATATTTCTTGGACAGATAAAAAAATGTTAAAAACCTGTTTTTGATGCGTAGTATTTTTTATGTTTTTCGTGAGAGTATCGAAAAAAGAAAAAAAAAGGGAGCACCGGAATCAGTGGCGTAGCCATTGGGGAGCAAAGGACGGCGTCCGAGCCTGACAGCACATTTGTTTGTTTTTTTTATAGTGAGGTCACATTTTCAGCCAATTGCAGATTTGTTATCACGTAAAATATCCTGGCTACGCCACTGACAACATTCCAAATTTGAACGGGATGAAAGACATGTTGAGGAGCTAATGGTTTAACTTCTCAGAGGCAGCTTGAGGGTTGCCATAAAATGGTGGCTTTTGTTTCCCGTGTAATGCCTGTAACACATATAACTTTACGCTTGACTAACAAAATTACGAAAAATGTAGAGTTGTACACACATCAAAGACAGGAACAGACACGTTTCCCAGGCGCCGGCAGCTTCAGGTGTTCATACGAGATACAAGTTCAACATTTACTGTCACAAGGAAAGTCAGGTTCTTTTGGAAACCCAAGCAGCGGTCTATTCTAGGTGGACGGGAGTGCTGGGATGAATTATCTTGCAGGTTACCAAACTTATGACCACGGTGATTGACATGGCGTCAAACTAACCCCAGTGCATTTTTCAGAAGAACTATTGCCCCTGAAACTTTTTTTAGAATGACAATCAACACATCACAGTGACATCGGACGTTGTTTACATCTGTCATTTTTTTTATGTTGGATGCTCACGTGGTAGTTCTTATCTATCTGCACGCATCGTTTAGAGACAATAATTGTTCATTAAATTACTTTCTTTTCTTTTTTTTCACTTTTCATCGTTTTTTTTTTTTCTTTTCTTTTATTTAATGGCTTGAGCCTAACACAATTTAATGTAGATGAAATGAAAAACTATCGACATTTTCTATAAAGCACTTTTTAAATAAAAGACATGTTCTCTTTATTCGTTAAAGACAATAATTGTTCATTAAATTACTTTCTTTTCTTTTTTTTCACTTTTCATCGTTTTTTTTTTTTCTTTGCTTTGATTTAATGGCTGGAGCCTAACACAATTTAATGTAGATGAAATGAAAAACTATCGACATTTTCTATAAAGCACTTTTTAAATAAAAGACATGTTCTCTTTATTCGTTAAATTAATGAACCACTCCCCCCCCCTCCCATCTATGTGTTAACGCATGTGTTACTTTCGAGTTCTGTTCTATTATTGGCACATTACCATTTGTCACGTTCATTTCACTTCAGAAGTTTCATTTTGAATATTTCGGTTCAAAATGTAAAATTCTGTTCCGATAGTTTTGATATGAACGTTTGAAAATTGCAAAATAAATTTAACAAGAAACGATGGACACGCAATAGTCTGCTGCAAGTTAATTATGTGTGAGACCACTTCCACATACACACATCTCTATCGCAAATAGGATAAGTTATATTCGGACAGATTCCCCTTAATTATGTATTCCTAAATATTGGATTTCCCACCGAATCGCGTATTTGATCTTTATCAATCAATAACTTTGGTCTAGAAATCAACTTTAAAAAGTGCAAAGTATGAGAAAGACATACCAAGTTCAGCACAGAGATACCACTAAGATTTCCTACTTAAGTATTTAAAAAACAAACTAACCGCTGATTGTTTGAAACTATAAACCACCGTCGTTAAAAAGATGTTATTATTGAATTCTTAAAAACTACCCTAAGAAGAAATTTATTTGTCCAAGAAAATGAAATTTCTTTTGCTATCCACGATTGTGTGTGCATCACTGGTCGTCTCCCAGCAGGGGCCTGGCGTGTGTCTACCTAGCAGGCTTCAGTGCATGTTTACGGATCTCCTAACAAGTGTAAGTGAAATTTATTTCTACCTAATTAGTCTTAACAAATTTAGCACAAATTTCTGACAAGATTTAATAATCAAATTAATCAAATTTCTTTGTTCGTTATTTTCCTCTGCTCGTTAGTTTTAGGGTTAGGGTAAGGCTTAGGAAAAGGGCTAGGGTTAGGATTAGGGTTAGGGTTATGATTAGGATTAGGGTTAGGGTTAGGGTATAAGGCTAGGGTTACGGTTAGGGTTAGGTTTGGGGTTAGGATTAGGTTTAGGATTAGGATTAGGGTTAGGGTTAAGGTTAGATTTAGGGTTAGGTTAAAGGTTAGGGTTGGGGTTAGGTTTAGGGTTGGGGTTAGGTTAGTGTTAGGGTTAGGGTTAGGTTTAGGTTGAGGATGAGTGTTAGGGTTGGTTTAGGGTAGGGTTAGTGTTAGGGTTAGGGTTATGGTAAGGTTAGGGTTAGGGTTAGGTATGAGTAAATTATGTAAAATTTGAAGCAATTCCTTTCTTGTTTTGCTGAATAAGACCTGTATTCCCAAAACGTCACGATTTTTTTCTATTCAATAATGAAAGCCTAACGCTACTGCCGAGTTAGTCTAACGCCAATTATTTGTATCTATAATCGGTGGTTACATGGAGAACTGCGTTCAAGGTACAGCTCAAATATTTCCGACATTGTCATCACCCTCTTTTCAAACCCTCTTAAACAACCTCCTCAGACACATGCATCAAACTTTCTCTAAACACTCTCCTCACCATCTCTCTAAACACTCTCCTCACCATCTCTCTAAACACTCTCCTCACCATCTCTCTAAACAATCTCTTAAAGAACCTCCCATGTATTTCTAAACACTCTCCTAATAACCCTCCCCACCTTTCTCTAAACACTCGCCACAACTTTCTTTAAACACTCGCCACAACTTTCTCTAAACACTTTCCTCAACACCCTCCCCAACTTTCTCTAAACACTCTTCTAAACACTATCGACTTTCTCTAAACTCTCTCCTCAACACTCTCCTCAACACTCTCCTCAACACTCTCCTCAACTTTCTCAAAACACTCTCCAAAACACCCACTTCAACTCGAACTTCATCAGTCTCCTTTGAGAACCTCTGAGACGGCCCTCTTCAGTTAAGTTCAAAATTAAAACAACAAAAAGCAATATGTCATCCAGAGTACCATACAATGATCAAGGGTGGTCTACCCACACCAAGGGTGTTCATCCATAAAGTTTGCTGTAACAAGAGCAGACCACAATGTGATTAGCAAACTAACGTTGACGTATCTTAAAATATCTTAGGGTGCACGCTACCTCAACGATAATGGTACTGAGATAATGCTATTACAAGTAGTGTGTGATGGAGGGATAGAAAAGTATCATTACGCCCAAGATATTTTAGGAAATCCTTAGAGCTATTTTCGTACGACATTGAACATTTAAAAAACAAAAAAGCTATGGCTTCCCACCATCGTCGAGAATCACGTTAAAGTCTCCTCCATCGGGAACAAATGAGAACCTAAGAAAAAAGTTATGATTATAACTAACAATTTTTAATGATTTAAAAACTTTTTTTTTGTGAATGGACTAAGTAAGAACAATTTTTTTTGAATGGACTAAGTAAGAACAATTTTTTTTTAGAAGATGTTAAAAAGTTGGGAGGTAATACAAAGGGAAACAACATCTGTAAGACTCTGTTCTTTTACCATTCTTTTGGAGAGGAGTTGATTCTGTTGTAGAATGACGTCACGTGGTTTAATATTACTTCTGGAACTAAGCATTCCATTTTTTTTTTTAAACTGATCACGTCTTATGGAATGCTCGGCCGAATTCTCAACAAAAGTTGGCGCATTTCAGATCATTTTTGTGTATTCGTTAACAAAAGGTATCGGAAGACACTCTTTACCCAGAACTTCAGTATCGAGCCCCGGCCACGTGGTTGTTGAATATTTTAATCGGTTACCAAAAAGGATTGCGTTGTACTTGCAAAGAAAATATTGAGGCAAAATTATTGAAACTCACTCTAGCAAAAACTAAAACTGTTCATACCGCTTGATCTGTGGCGGTCCATTTGATCAGCCCGATAAAACTGGTTAACGGCACGTATGGTGACGTCAGAATGAAACTCGTTAAAGGCCCGTATGACAACCTCAATATATAACGAACTAAGACAACTGATGTCAATGAGTATTTTAACACTTAACGGTTAGAAAATATTAATTTCAGTGGTTTTACGCACACAAATAGACAATAGATTATTTATTTCGGTTCGATATCTAATTTTGTACAAACACAACAGGCGATCTATATCTGCACAGACAGAAATAACCCACTGATAAGTATCTTAGTAAGTGCAACACAATGTTACCAGATTTATCTCTATTCAGGAATATGGCATCATTGCATTGGACTTTGTCGATAACTTGGTGGCACAGGTGACCTACCCTACCAATGGGAGGACAGTTTTCAACCTGACAGAGGTAAGACATGTTACACAATTATCAAGACCTAACACTTGGTACACGATCAAGGACAATGCAGTCAACACTTGCTCATTAATAGACCTTATAGACCTTTTAATACATAGCATTTCTTTCAGGTTGAAGTTTAAGTTGATGTTTTTATTTGCCCCATTTTGTACTTTGCTTCATGGTTACACCATTCTAAGATTAGTAAGTTTGTGCTGCTTAGGTAACAATGGTTATACATTTTGTTTAAAGTTCCAAATAAATATGCTCTTGTGAATATTGGACGAGATAGAGTGAATTTCGATTTCATTGTTCTAAAAAAAAAAATTTAAAATCTCGCACATGGCAATAAATCTCTTCGTTGAATGACATTATATCAATACAAATGGGGAACTCGTTTTAAATGGTGTTAGTCACAGTTTGACTAAACCTAGAAAACGGTTGTTGGGCATGGTATAAAACCTATGTCGTTTGTATTCTAACTAAGAGGATGGCGTATGAGATCAACCAGACCACAGGTCAGTGTGCCAGGCACCCCATGGCCAGCTACCAGGTGTATGGACAGTGCCTACCTGGTAAGTCATGCTGGTCTGCCAGTTACTCTTTTACTTTCTACTTTTGTTTTTTTGTCGGTGTACGATATAAAAACAATTTCACCGATCAGTGGTGAGTCTCTGCCGGTGTAGCAATAGGATGTAGCAAGGCCAACAGATTTAGGCTTTAGCTAGTAGTCTTAGGTATACCTTTTTTTTTCCCATGAAAAGCAATTTGTTTTTTTTTTCCATAGTAAAATGATTGAGAAGCCAATTTTTTTAGCCCAAATAAAGTTAAAATTTGAAACTTGGTTGCGTTTTTTAAAATATTGAGAACAGTTGCGTATCAAAGAATTATAAAGCAAAAAAAAAGTGGTGGTGTTGGTGATGTGATATTTGAAATCATCAATGTATCTTTTTATTTGGACCAAACGTTTCTCATTCTTCAGCCTCAGCCAGGCTGTACACCCCAAACAATTCGTACGTCGGCCTGGGAATCAACTCACTGGACATGCAAGCCTGGCAGGTCGACCTGCCCGCTGGAGCCCTGGCCACTGTGGCATTCAATGTGGGCCAGCCAACAGTTCCCATAGCGTCACAGTTGACTGGTGAGTTCTACATGACCCAACTTTTGATTCATGAACGGTCTCTTATTAAAAAGGTTTTTTTCTTTTTATTCCTATTTTCGATTCCCAAATAGGAAGCAGAGACGTGATTTGACGACAAGCATTGAGATGCACTTGTGGGTTGTTGTTTTTTTTATTAGAATATATTTCAATGATATTAGACGATGGCTTGTGGTGGCAAAGTAGAAAGATATATCAACAACAAAAAAAAAAGATATTTCTAAAGCACATCTGCTCTGGTGAGCCAAGGGTTCCCTAATCCGAAACAATTCATTCTCTGTACAAATCTTACTTAGCTGTAAATGAGAGCTGATAATTCATTACTAATCTAATCCAACATTTAACAGGTAATTCCAAAACTGGTGTGGTCAGTTAACCATTTAGATCTACCGTCTCCTTAAATGTGTTTTGATAGAACTTCTCTTTCTAAAGATGTAAATCTACATAAGCGTTTAATCTTGTGTGGGTGTTGTTAAAACAAGGGGTGTACAATTGCGTGAATACAGACATGTTTCTTGATATCAACAGGACTCGGGGATGGCACCGGAAAAGAGATCAATTTTTTCTTCAACTGTGGCGCATCTGCTGACCCAGTATTGTTCTACCTGCCATCCACGTGTAATGCCCCTGATGTCTTGAAGTGGACCAAAATTAAGAACTCTGATTAGAGAGCGCTAAAAAGTGTCAGCTTCTAATATATGATTCAATGATTACGATAAATGTATGATTCAATGATTACAATAAATATATGATTCAATGATTACAATAAATATATGATTCAATGATTCAATGTTAATCATGGATGAGTGGCGTGCAATGAAATGCAAAAAAAAATGCAAAGACAACCAACATATGTGATTTTTTTTTAAAGTTAGCAAAGAAGGCGACGTTAGCAAAAAGATAGTAACATCAGACCTAGTGCGCAGATATTCGAATCTCACAAACTAAGGAACGAAAAAGTTTAGTGAGATTTGTGACACTGACTTTTGGCTTTCAAAATATCATCAATGTTTGGTTTGGAATTGCTGCATCCAATCAAAATAATTGTTTTCAAATGTTCATCAATCCCTCTCGTTCGATGTGTTGACTTCACATACTTTATTATTGAAAATGTTTGCTCACATACATTATTTGTTTCATGCATGCTGCAATCGGATGCCAACTCTTCCGTTATCCGAAGGTCCGAGTTGACACCCAAAAAAAAGAAAAACACCAGAAGTTGTGAGAGATCAGTAGACTCATCTTGTGCCAAAATATACCACATCAACTTCCTAGCTTTCTCACGTATCTGTAGCACTATGTTCTCTCCAAATTCTGTTTTTTCTCCGCACAACTGAACTTGCCAAAAGGCTGATATTTCCAACCCGGCGACTACGATTTTTGTATGTCCCCGTGTGTTTCCAACACTCCTCTTCCTTTCACCCGTTTGCAGTTTGTTGTAGTTATCAGACCATAATATATTAGCGGGAATAGCCTTAATGGAAATTGATTCTTATTATATAATTTTTTAAACCAGCTTTTCCTAAAATCAGCAACCTAAAGTTACTTGGTAGGTTTTTTAAATTATTTCATCACTTGTTAATTAATTGTTATTGAAATACATCTTGTTTTATGCTGATCTGACTTCGAATTCGAGCCACGTTAAATTTCACCACTAACTTTATAGTTACCAGTGACAGACTGTGATAGTGTGATTTGCACGTCCACTCGTTAGAAATTAATATCTATAGCAATTACACGTCTGCAAAACAAAGGGACCCCAGATTGTAATATAAACGTCGGTCATCTACTTTAAGTAGGTAACTTTTTGGACACCAACTTAACTCGATCCCATCAGGCGGCACTGCGATGCGAGCAGTTGCTGTATTCATTATATATACTCTATGTTTATTTATTTACTATTAAGATACCGTATTGTACGATTTCGAGATGGAAATGTGCGATTTTAGGAGTTCGAAGGTAAAAAGGTCTGCAATAAACAAGAAACTCTAAATACAATAATTTAAAGTAGAAAATGGTAAATTAAAGCGCATTGCAGTCAGGAGGTCTCCGTGCGTGTGAAGATCCTCTGGTAATCTAAACATAATATTGAAATTTAAACTGTATCACACAATATTGTGTTCCATAAGTTTTATCAAGCAATTATTAAAAGTGCCGTCGGAGGGCCGGATGAACTGGCATCGCGGGCCGGATCCTGCCCGCGGGCCTTAGTTTGGTGAACCGCCCCCCCCCCAATCTAGACTAATAGATAGAGAAGCGAGACTTACTTTTTAAAAGATGCATTGTGCTAGTTCCTTAGTCTGTATTTTAGGCTTCGTTATCTGATTAAGATAACATCCCTAGGAAAAGTTTTAAACAAGCGCTGATTCGGGTGCACATTTTATACGGGTGCCGGGTCCGGGTATAGTGAGACTATAGTGAGACTATAGTGAGACTATCCCCGGCGGGTCAGAGTAGAAGCTCCTGCAAATGGTTTCTATATGTCACTTAGTGACCTACACACGTGACGTAATTATTTCTACTCAACCCTTTAAATTTAACATGTATAAATATATGTGTGTATATATATATTATATATATATATATATACATGGGCGCCCGCAGGTAGGGGCAATTGGGGCACTTGTCCCCCCTGGATTGATTGGATAAAAAAATTTTAGACAAAAATAGACAAAAATTTTATTAAAGTAAAGAGAAAATAAAGAGAAAGTAACTAAGCTGATGTCCTGTCCGTTCGTTCACCATACAAATACGCTACTGTAAATTAAAACCATATTAAAGCATTACTAAAAATTTGTTGTACCTTCAAACCATAATAAAACACTACTCAAAAGAAAGTTTTCTGCGGGCTCCCATATATATATATATATATATATATATATATATATATTATATTTACTGATTTGAAGTGCAGTTTTAGAATGTGACTTATAAATCCACGAGAAGACATACATTTTGAATCGACCATTCTAGGACCCACTGTCCTAGTCGAACAAAATAATTGCGTCACACGCACGGATTAGGATAAAAAGGCGAAAAGTAATAAAAATATTGCTATTGGTATTGCTATGCAAAAGGAAATATAACTAGTAAAAATGGAGTATCATGACCCTAACAAATATATACATCCAACAAAATTCACAGGTACAGTATCATACTTAGACCTGAGTAGTTACATTTAACTTAAATTTAGCTTACATTTTGCTTACATTTAGCTTACATTTAGTTTTTGACCCAATCTATCATTTATTTGTTTCGGGTAAAATACATTTTGGTTTTTAATTTTCCAATTATTTTTACAGAACATACCCGTTTCCTTTTTTTTTTTTTTTAAATTTAAATGTTGCCAGGCTCGGGTGTATTCCACGTGTTTAATACTCATCCTTTTCCGGAGATCTGTGTCAGCAGCCGGTCAGCCCTAATTGAAATGTTCACATGGAGATAATTATCAGCGCTAGGTCAGATGACGTCTCCATACGAATGATGCAGTGGAAAACCCCGGGGCTAGAGTTAGAAATTTGGCCTCTTGTCTAATGGTCATACAAAATATAACACACAGACTAGGGTTAAACCTGAAGGTTCAAGTCACGAAAAACTGCAAACAAAAGGAGAGACGAGAAATATAAACTTGGCTGACAGTAAAGTTTTTAAACAGAAAGCAAAATGAAAGGCGCGCGGCACGTTTTTAATACAGATCCTCAAACCGTGGGGGTAGGGGATGGGGGGAGGGGTGTGAAAGCTTTTTGTTGAATGTCGACATTACCTCGTACGACAAAGTATTGTCTATCCAACAGGCGTTTCGGGAGGTTGGGGGGGGGGGTTACGATAGCGTGGCCAATTAAGTTTAACTTGACCTTAGTGGGGAAACCTTTGATTGTCTCAGACAATGTGACACGAAGCAATAACAATTTAAATTGTATACTGCACAGACTGTAATAGTGAACAGGCGAGTAGAAAAAGAAGAATGAATCCGAGCTCAAGTTTGTGACGTCCTGGATTGTTTCATCGATGATGTCTCTAAATTAACTTCGTTGTTCGTCCTTCGCATGCGAAGATGTCCACGAAGCCCCCATCTTGGGCGGCATTTTTGTGTTTAGAGTGAGGGAGGGTTGCTAGATTCGTCGGCCTCACTCTCTTCTCCGTCCTTGCCCATTTGTTCCAAAGGCAAGCCATGGTCAAGACGACTGGAAATAGACCAGTGGGCAGTAGAGGACCAACCTTTTTTGTTTTCGTGTTTCACTGTGTGCTCTTTATATGTTCCATGTCGCAGGAGTTGTCGGCATTTTTATTGTGTCATTAGACTAGGAGACTCCATCTCGGGTTTGATTTCAGAGAATGCCTCCTCTTAAATGATTGACCATCCACCCGGTATCCTGCTGTTGTTATTGCTTGTCTAGGATATTGCTAAGGATTGCTAGACTCCAGTCCAAAAGCTTTGGCTTGACTCAGTTTGGCCCGCTCGGTCACCCAGGGGGGACGTCATTTGGGTATAGAGCAGATTTAATTTAAAATTCAATGCACTATGGCACCTAATTAATAAACAAACCGACAAAGATTTGGCGCCCCCCCCCACCCCATCCACCAACAAATCTTAAATGAAGCCCCGCCCAGTTGTAGATTAACTAAAAGATGAGTAACTGAATAAAAAAAACAAATTTTAAAAATTCAACAATGTCAGATACATGAATGCAATGTTTTATTCAGGTCTTGCAGGAAACATAATAAAATTTTAAAAAATCTTATTTATGAAATGTTATCGGCTGAGAAGATGTTCAGGGAGCCGCAGGAAACGGCGGACAGAGAGAGAGAGAGAGAGAGCGAACGTCTCCCTGACACATGGACGTAATATTTGACTTTTGAGACATCAGGTTGAAAATATAGATTTATACAAAATTGTAATACATTTGTTTATTCCCTTTTTACATGTGATCTTGCACTTGGGTCGCATTCATTTAATACGGAGCCGCAGGATCACTGAGTTAGGAAGGTGGTAGGAAATATTAGTACCCTTTAGGTCCTTAATAGATGAAAAGGAGAAAATTGTAACTGATAAAAGGACAGCCCCCCCCCCAAAATCACAACAACGTTAGAACCCTAAAAAATTCAAGCCCGCGTTATCTCATTCAAGTGGCGCCATTGTTAGAAACAAGTGGATCATTGATGAACGAATAATAAGCAGACCTTAGCACTGTGTGACCCTTTGAGCTCAAATCAAATTAGTGACGTTCATGAAAGACTTAGATTTGAAAATTTTGTTAGATTAACATATTCCCATTCAATCGCTTTACTTGCCAAAGTATTAGTGGTGATTTAAATAAATAGAAAACATCTCTTTAACGTTATGTGTGTGTGTATATATATATATATATATATATATTCGCTGTAATACATTCCCCAAATTTTATCCTCAGTAAAAATTTAAAAAACACTAAAAACGAAGTTTTTCATATAAATTATTTATAAAATTATGTACATTGACAGGAAGAGGGTTCAATTGGCCTTCCTAAGATTTTGCAAGCCAGCCAGCCAACAACACAAGCGAAGCTAATATAAATGATTTTTTTTTTTTAAAATGGCTTTTCCTCGTCTCGCAAAATCTAACTGGATGCATTCGTGTTGTGCAAATGTTCAATGCCTTGCCAGGCAGTAAACTTAAAATGCTACGATACAATCCCAACAAAATTCAGTGGTGTGATGAACACCTCTGTTGTGGTTAATAGCCCTGCTCTGATAGACTTCCATGCTATGGTAAACATCCCTGCCATTATAGACTTCCCTGCCATAATGGTCATCCCTGCCATGATAGACATCCCTGTCATGATAACATCCCTGCCATGATAGACATCCCTGTCATGATGGACATCCCTGCCAAGATAGAAATGCCTTTCATGGTCTACATCCCTACAATGATAAAAATCCCTTCCAAGATAGACCTTGCTGCTGTGACACACATCCTTGCTAAGACAGACATCCCTGCCATAATAGACATCCCTGCCATAATAGACATCCCTGCCATAATAGACATCCCTGCCATAAGAGACGTCCATGTTATAATAGACATCCCTGCCATAATAGACATCCCTGTCATAATAGACATCCCTGCCATAATAGACATCCCTGCCATAAGAGACATCCCTGCCATAAGAGACATCCCTGCCATGCTAGACATCCCTGCCATAATAGACATCCCTGCCATGATAGACATCCCTGCCATAATAGACATCCCTGCCATGATAGACATCCCTGCCATGCTAGACATCCCTGCCATAATAGACATCCCTGCCATGATAGACATCCCTGCCATAATAGACATCCCTGCCATAAGAGACATCCCTGCCATAAGAGACATCCCTGCCATAATAGACATCCCTGCCATAATAGACATCCCTGCCATGATAGACATCCCTGCCATAAGAGACATCCCTGCCATGCTAGACATCCCTGCCATGCTAGACATCCCTGCCATGATAGACATCACTGCCATGATAGACGTCCCTGCCATAATAGACATCTCTGCCATGATAGACATCCCTGCCATGATAGACATCCCTGTTATGGTCAACATCCGGACAACAACAAACACAACTTTTTTACAAGCCGCAGTAATCTGAAATTGTGTGGAGGGGATGTGTCTGGGTTCATGACCCACCTCGTGGGTCCCGTTGGTTTGCGCTTAAAATATGGCAGGTGACCTGGATGACAATAGAATTTCGTTTGAAATCCACTTCATTCAATTAACAGAAGCTTGTACGCGCCACTAGAGTTTGATACGCACATTGTAATGTCTAGGTCCTAGCTTGATCGTAGTTGCCCATCAAGCAGAGATTTATATTTATTTACGTGTGTTTATATAAATATAGCTGTTAAAATTGAATATTTCTGACTTTAATTTTACGTCATGTTTATGGAAAGCTATAACAACCCCCCACCCCCACCCCCACACCCCCCCCCCAAAAAAAAACCGCCTGAGCCCTAACATTTCTTAAATGGATGATTTGATAAATCTCTGGCCTGGAACCCCCATTTATCTAAATATAGCTGTTAAAATTGAATATTTCTGACTTTAATTTTACGTCATGTTTACGGAAAGCTATAACAACCCCCCCCCCCCACCCCCACCCCCCCCCCCCAAAAAAAAACCGCCTGAGCCCTAACATTTCTTAAATGGATGATTTGATAAATCTCTGGCCTGGAACCCCCAAAACTATCGGTCAGAATCTTCTATCATTTTTTCCCCCACAGCTATGCGTTTCTTTTAAAGACAAGTCCGGGTGAAGTTGAGTTACGGTGAACGGGTTTGAGAAGCCTGCGTGCACGCCATTAAATGATCAGCGTGGAAACAAAGAGGAGCACATAAGGAGTTATTATCTTCACAAACACCATTTGTTATGTTGCCGCCGGCGGTATTTTCCTTCTCACCATAATAAACGGCACACGCAGTGCGTAACGTGATAGGTGCTCAGAAACCAAGTTATTTTTAGAATGCATGTTTTTAAACGTCAGATTTAAACCACAAACAAATGGATTTAGCTTTTTACAAGTGTGTACCTTGAAGAGGGGAGAGGGTAGGGTTTGGGGGGGGGCAAGGAGGTCAACTTCAACATATTACACATTGTCTTAAATTATTTCAACTAGGCCTTAACCGGAGTCAGTTTGTTGTCACATGGACTCTGGGTATTTTGAGAAAGTTCCCGGTGGGTCCAAGTGTTACCCCCCAAAAAAAGTAGACTTCTTATTTTCTATAACATATGCAGGAGGCCTTTAAACAATCGTCCTTCAGACCGTCCTACACCCTACCTGCTGGCATGTTTACAATAGTCCTACGGAAGTCTGACACCCTACCTGTCGGTATTTATACAATAGTCCTATAGAGAAAGTCCTACACCATACCCGTGGGTCTTTTTTGATTAATATACTAGTCACCTCCGAAACAATTCAACCCTATTACGTGAGTTCAACAGTCACGCTTGATGCTTGCTGCGTGACAGCTTTCTTTTTCCCAACTCAGTAATATTAATATTAAAACATGTTGAGTAAGTGGGGGGGGGGCGGTTATGAAAAGGGAGAAGCCACGCCATAACCAAATTGACATAAGAGATAAGAGTTTCTAAACAGATGCGCTGCATCATATGGTCACAAATTCCTGTTAACACAAGTGCGCAACTGCACTTCAATGAAAGATGGTACTTTGAAGTAACCGAGGACAAAGTACTCATAGAAATCGTAGATTTCAGACTTAATTTTATCACATGGCGTCATGCGGCGACGATTAAAAAAATAATCAGAGATGGTGATATAGTCCGAAAATGATCGCCTTGCCGAGTGTCCCGTCAAGGTTAATATGGCTGCCCGAGGTATTATATCACTGTCACGTCTTATAGAGTACATGACATCCAATGGTAGCTACTCTGAGAACTAAAGCAATTCGCGCATGCACCTCCAGTCACTGAAACAGCCCGATAAGAGCATTTGGATGTATGTTAAGGCTTACGCTCGATCACAGTAAGCATTTCTGCAACAAATATCCTACGGTGGTTAGATGTGACGTAGGCAAACTATTTGAGAGCCACTGGTATCAGATTTCTACTATCGAACCCAAGTAAGGTGAGTTATATCTGTTACGCTTTCATTCAGTTGTGGTCTGCCGTTGTCTGGAGAAGCCAAGATGCAGTCTGTCTTGCTGTGTTCGCTTATCCTGTTGTCTGCCGTAGTGTTCGGTCAGGATCCTGCCCAGATTTGTCTGCCCTCACAGCTACAAGTCGGATATTATAATTTTATTGACAATGTAAGCAACCGCTGTAAGCAATCATAAGTTGTGCGTTTGACTTGTTCTTTACGCTGATGGCAAATCAAAGCTTTAACTTTTCATCACTGTGTATGTATCAATGTAGATGTAAGATTATGCATGTATCATTTTGAATGTATTTATTTTTATGGATCAATGTATACGTATCAATGGGTACGTATCAATGTGTACGTATCAATGTGTATGTATCAATGTGTATGTATCAATGTGTATGTATCAATGTGTTGGTACCATCAAGAGAAAATATGTGGACGAGTGATGTATTGATTACTTAACGTAATATTGTTTTATTTTATGCTTAACGCAAGTCTGAAACGATTCCTTTATGAAGACGTACATTTGGAGTCTCGCCATGAAGTAGCTGTGTTGTAATACTCTAATATTGATGTAGCTGTGTTGTTATACTCTAATATTGATGTAGCTGTGTTGTAATACTCTAATATTGATGTAGCTGTGTTGTAATACTCTAATATTGATGTAGCTGTGTTGTAATACTCTAATATTGATGTAGCTGTGTTGTTATACTCTAATATTGATGTAGCTGTGTTGTAATACTCTAATATTGATGTAGCTGTGTTGTTATACTCTAATATTGATGTAGCTGTGTTGTAATACTCTAATATTGATGTAGCTGTGTTGTTATACTCTAATATTGATGTAGCTGTGTTGTAATACTCTAATATTGATGTAGCTGTGTTGTTATACTCTAATATTGATGTAGCTGTGTTGTAATACTCTAATATTGATGTAGCTGTGTTGTTATACTCTAATATTGATGTAGCTGTGTTGTAATACTCTAATATTGATGTAGCTGTGTTGTAATACTCTAATATTGATGTAGCTGTGTTGTAATACTCTAATATTGATGTAGCTGTGTTGTTATACTCTAATATTGATGTAGCTGTGTTGTGATACTCTAATATTGATGTAGCTATGTTGTTATACTCTAATATTGATGTAGCTGTGTTGTTATACTCTAATATTGATATAGCTGTGTTGTAATACTATATCCAATAAAAACGTTGATCAATTTGGATATCTTCACTAGGGCAATAATCTATTGATCAATATGTCTGCCCAATAAACACGTTGTCAATGTGGGCATCTTAATTATGGCACCAACCTATTCACCAACATTTCTACCCAATAAACACGTTGTCAATGTGGGAATCTTAATTATGGCACCAACCTATTCACCAATATTTCTACCCAATAAACACGTTGTCAATGTGGGCATCTTAATTATGGCACCAACCTATTCACCAATATTTCTACCCAATAAACACGTTGTCAATGTGGGAATCTAAATTATGGCACCAACCTATTCACCAATATTTCTACCCAATAAATACGTTGTCAATGTGGGGATCTTAATTATGGCACCAACCTATTCACCAATATTTCTACCCAATAAACACGTTGTCAATGTGGGAATCTTAATTATGGCACCAACCTATTCACCAATATTTCTACCCAATAAACACGTTGTCAATGTGGGAATCTTAATTATGGCACTAACCTATTCACCAATATTTCTACCCAATAAACACGTTGTCAATGTGGGCATCTTCAGTAGGGCACCAACCTATTCACCAATATTTTTACCCAATAAACACGTTGTCCATTTCGATATCTTCACTGGAGCCCTACTAACCTAAATACAAATATTTATCCACTCTAAACTTTGTGGTCCACTGAAATTGAAGTTGGGTTTAAATATATTTATCTAAAGGATTTTAATTAAATAGATAATTGCACGCGTAGTAATGTGGGGTCTGAAAGGCGAACAATTGTATTGAATTCCAAAGAGCGGGAGTGAGGGAGAGAGGAAGGGAGAGAGAGAGGGAGTTAAGGGTAAGGAGGGAAGGAGAAGAAGAGAGAAAAGGATAATCTGATGTCAAATTTGGTAGATAGAATAAAACTAGAAGTATTAATTTTTACGTTTGATCAAGGACAACATTAAACATTGTGTAACCAAAAAAAATTTACATTTTAGAGGTATGGAGTGTATTCCCTTGATTTTACCAAAAGTCTGGCAGCAAAGTACGATGCCATTGGCAAATACGTTGTAGTTTTTGACCTCAAGACGGTAAGTCATTTAAAATATAAGACGTTAACTTTGAAGGAACTGCAACTGAAAAACAATATATACTTAAATCCTTTTCAGAATGAGTTCACTTCCATAGACTGGATAGATTTAAAAAAAAATTAAACTTAATAACAAATAATTATTTCCCCATGGTGACTAGATCTACGCTTTTTCTTAACTGAATGAAACCTGCTGCACAATTCTCCTCATCCAACAGTTCATCGCCTACAATGTGACAGCAAGTGGGAAGTGCACCAAGTACAGAATGGACAGCACAGACGCCAGTTTTCAGTGCTTGCCGTGTAAGTCAACGGTAGTTGTGACAAGAGGCGGGGCATTGTTTGTAAAAAAAAAAAAAAAAAGTGTGTTTAAATATTGGAAAGATAAAAAAATTGAAAATATTGAAATATTGATGAATACCATCAATACTAGGAATAAATCCTATCATATTTATTGATTTATCAAAAACCGTTAAGGTGATATGGCAATATTGATGAATATCTAAAAAAAAAAAATTAATTTAATCTTCGTATACGCAATTGTTTTCAAATAAGAACATCAAATTATTTTGGCTTAATTGTTGGTCAATCATTAGGGTGTCGTATAAATGTTATATGCACACCGAAATGCATGTATTAATCAAGATTTCGCGCTCTCCCCCGCAGCATCTGCAAAGCTCGTCAGCAACAACAACACGTATCTAGGTCACGGCCTTGACATGTTGATTGTGCAAACATGGGAGATTGGCCTTGGGGAGGACACAACACTGAGACTAGCCTACACCATGGAAACGCCAGCTTTTCCAACTATAAGACACTTGCGAAGTAAGTACCTGTGCCGCCCCCCCCCCCGTTAGTCACCTCACCCATAGACATCTGAGAATAGTGTACATTGCAGATTTATTTACCTTCAACTTTGTACACCTCTAATTGTTAAATAAATAAGAAACTCGAATGTCTTAAGAGAATGATACAGTTGGAAATATGATTTGGTAACTATTCTTCCTTTCCCCTCCCTACCCCCCCCCCCAAGTTGAATGTCCTTAAATAGTGAAATAGTGTTACAAGTATGGTGTTCATGGGTTAATCTATGTGATTGGTGGTCGTGCGTTAGTATATGTAATTGATTGTAATGGGTTAATATATGTAATTGGTTGTAATGGGTTAATACATGTAATTGGTTGTAATGGATTAATATATTTGATTGGTTGTCAATGGGTTAATATATATTTTGGTTGTAATGGGTTAATATATTTGATCGGTTGTCAATGAGTTATATATGTAATTGGTTGTAATGGGTTAATCCATGTGATTGGCTGTCGTTGGTTTATATATGTAATTGGCTGTAATGGATTAATATATGTAATTAGTTGTCAATTGGTTAATATATGTAATTGGTTCTCATGGGTTAATCTATGTGATTGGTTTTCAAAGGGTTAATCTATTTGACTGTAATATACTAAGTTGCAGTAGTTATTGGTTGACACATGAAGTAGAGCTTTCTACGAAACTAGATATAGCCCGCCAAACATTGGCGACAGCAATGTGTGAACTTTCCATCTACTTAAGTTACTTGACAAAAGCATGAACTCAAGTTACGCACATATAAGAATGCCAATTTTGCTACACCCCCTTCCCCCCTTCTTTTTCATGTTACGTCACTGCACACTTTTTATTTCATCCCCCTGAACTATATAAATATAGCCGACCCGCAGCTTAGCATACGCCGCGAGCTTGTTGGGGTGTGCGCATGGCTGATAAGCGAGGGTGGTGCAGGAGGGGTGGGGCGGTAGCTCCACCGCAGTGCGCATGTCTCGAAACCAATGATGGGCAGGCAAGGGAAGGGAGGGTTACCTGCGTCTTGCTTGCTCTGGCGTATCTATATATAGCCTGCGTCGTCGTCTTCTTGGCCTAGTTTTTCTGGCGTATTATATATAGATGTGTAATCAGAATGTGGGTCGACTGATCAAAGAACGAATGTACTGACTTACGTAGAAGGCCACATTAAAATTAAATGAGTGAACATTCCTATTGCTGATGTTTTTGAAAATAATACCAAATCAATTATTAAAAATAAATTTAAGGACTGCATTAAAGCTTAGTAAATGAATGAAATAGCATGAAATTATCCTGTTCTCTTATGCAAGCTTCCACAAACCTCGTTTTACAATTATTAAAATATGACAACTTAAAGAGGGAGGATTAACCAAATGAGTTCTATCAAACTCAAAGCGTCGAAAATTTTAATAACTGTCATTTTTTTTTCTAAAGAAAGAAATACACTTTAAAAAAACGAGCCGTAGCAATAAATATATATCTGTAAAATATGATAATTGTCCATACACATGTTACCTGGATGTGCTGAAGCTTTCATGTAAAAAGCGTTGATTGGTTTTAAATTATTATTTTATTATTATTTTTTTGCTTTCCGCTTTTTCCTTTTTTTCTTTAACTGACCACCGTTTGATAATTTTTTTTCCCGCAGGCAGGAGCACTGGGTCAGCTGCTGCGGTTTTCGTTTACTACAATGCTGTCACTGAAATTGACCCCAAATATTTCGTCATTCCTTCAACGTGCCCTAATGAAATCCCCCTTTCTTAGACAAGATATGACATGACATTGACCTGACCACCGATATTTCACATTTCCTTAGGAACGGGATAATATTTTGATACAACATATTTGCTCTGCGTATAATGATTATATTATTTTTTTAAAATAAATTTTATTCTTTGCATAGAATTAAGCCATCAAATTGTTTCTGGGATGTTTTAATTTTAATGTAGAGAATAAAATCTTTGTAGAAAACTTTTGTTATTTTCATTTCTGGTCTTACATCTTTTACTTACCGCCATTTGCTTGTTGTTTTCATTGGTTGTTTTCATTGGTCGTTTTCATTGGTTGTTTTCATTGGTTGTTTTCTTTTTTTTTTTTTTGGGGGGGGGGGGGGGGGGGGGGGTGTTTAATTTTTTGGTTTTTTTTTAAGATTTAGCTCCTTAGATGAACTATACGTAACAAAAGACTTAAAAACAGCAGACAAAGAAAAACGATACCGAAGCTGGTGATGTTAACACTATTAAAAGTATCTTATACTACTTAGGGTTTATTAAGAAAACTAAATCAAAGACACAGAGATAAAGAGTATATTATCTTACAGCACATCAAGTGAACAAGTACATACCTCGAAAGATACAAATATAAATACATAAAAACATACAAAGACTGCAGTCTTGTAAGGCTCTTATCAGGTAAATTAAGCATCGTATCGAGGAATTATATCAAATCTCTCTCCGACTGGGAATGCTCACGGATTTTTTATAGGGAAAGAGTGGGAACCCTCCAGTGAAAAAAAATCTCAAACTTGCTTCCCCCGATCCTATTCTTTACCTTCCATTTAGATTATATTCGAATGTAAACAACCTTTTCCCAATCATGGGAGGGGTGTGTAATGGTATAGCTTTACACATTTAATTTGTAACGTTAAAATAAAATTTAAAAAAAAAAAAGAGTGTAAAAAAGTGGTTGCAGCAAAAATTAGGTCAACACACATGCTGTAATACATCAAAAGACATAGAGAGAAAATAAAAGCGATATTGAGAGACAGAAAGAGATAGACAGACAGGGGTAGACAGACAGGGAAATTGAGAGAGAGAGAGAGAGATGGACAAAGGAGACAAACAGACAGAAAGAGGGGGGGGTGCAACTAATCTCAATCATGACTATTCTAATATATAGGTGATATTCACGTTTTAGAAACTCCGTTTAATAAGCAGCTTTTTGTTGCCTTTTCTTCCTATCTGGACATTCCTGATTTATTGTTTACATATTCATAAGATGCAATTCTTGTACTCCGTCTTGTTTTGCCTCATGCTTTTTTCATTCATTCCTTCCATGCTCTTGTTAATTGCTTGTCATAAACGTTTGCCTGGTTCAACTACGTGGCAGAGCTGGCCGTGTGGAATACGGAACTGGATGTGTGGAATACGTGAAGGAACTGGACATGTGGAATACGTGAAGGAACTGGACATGTGGAATACGTGACAGAACTGTTTGTATGGAATGTGTGACAGAATTAGATGTGGGGCATATTTGACAGAACTTGATGTGTGAAATACTTGACAGAATTGGATATGTGGAATACGTGACAGAACTGGACATTAGGAATACGTGACGGAACTGGATGTGTGGAACACGTGACAGAACTGGACATGTGGAGTACGTGACATAAATGGATTTCTGGAATCGTGACAGAACTGTTGGTATGGAATGTGTGACAGAATTAGATGTGGGGCGCATTTGACAGAACTTGATGTGTGAAATAATTGACAGAATTGGATATGTGGAATACGTGACAGAAACGGATGTGTGACACATTTGACATAACTGGATGTGTGGAAGACTTGATGTAACTAGACGTGTGAAATACTTGACAGAATAGGATGTGTGCAACGACGGCACGCCTTCCATTTGGTGTAGGGGGACAGGGGCGTGGCCGCTCATTGGTTCACACGTGGGAGATAACGAGGAACTCGATACGGCACGACAGGGTTATGTTTCATAGCATGACGTAGACATCGCAATGGATCGCGGGCTCAACTGATTTGTTCCGCAGTGTAAACTTCTTTTTTAAATGTGTCAGTTTAAAACAAGATCAGATGCAATCTAGTTGGGCCAACAACACCTAATGGTTGGGCCAACAACACCCAATGTTGGGCCAACAACAACCAATGTTGGGCCAACAAGAACCAATGTTGGGCCAACAACAACCAATCTTGGGCCAACACCACCCAATGTTGGGCCAACAACAACCAATGTTGGGCCAACAACAACCAATGTTGGGCCAACAAAAACCAATGTTGGGCCAACAACACCCAATGGTTGGGCCAAAAACACCCAATGTTGGCATGTTATTTTGTTTACATCTTTTTTTTTCCTTCAGATTTTCCGTGATTTTTTCTCCTTCGTTGATTTAAAATAGAAGATTCAAGACCTGACGGATATTATCATTATTCTCTTCCTAACTGCCATAAATCTTAAACCAGGAGAAATAATTGATTTGTTTGCTTCCCGGTTGTTGTTTTTTGTTGTTGTTTTTTCAATATCTAATTTTCCTCTCTACTGTGTGTTGTCTGTCAGAAAAGCGAGCATTCCAGCAGTATGATTTGAACAATGAATCCGCTGTGCTGCATTGATTATGTCTGGGAGTTTGTTGCATGTGTTTGTTTAGGACAAGATTTCCAGCCATGCGCCCCCCCCCCCAACCCCCAAAACAACAACAACAATACAAAAAAAATCGCCTCACTGTCCTGTCTAAAAACCCATTTAATGGACAATTCGATAATACGAGAATTATTCATCTGGATTCGACTTAGTAAAAAAAAAATAATAATTTTAAATAACAAGATTCAGAGGTTTCTCCGAGAAAAGCCATCCGTTCCATCACTGTCAGGATGGTTTTTTTTTTGGTGTTTTTTTGTTTGTTGGTGTTTTTCTTTTTTTTACCAGTTCAAGGGATTCTACGAAAATAATGTTGAACTCTTATATTTAATAATGTACTCTTTGGACTTAAAACTGTTACAAATTGACTTCGGAATTTAAAACATTTCACATGAACATATTTCTGATTCCGTAAATAAAGGATCCCCCAAAGAAACAAGGATCATATCAACTTGATCTAAAGGTATTAGTTGGAGAGTTACATCATATTTGGCAGATTGATGACGTTAAGCACAAGACAGAATGTTTAGCACAAGACTGGATGTTTAACACAAGACTGAATGTTTAACACAAGATTGAATGTTTAACACAAGATTGATTGTTTAACACAAGATTGAATGTTAACACAAGACTGAATGTTTAACATAAGATTGAATGTTTAACACAGGACTGAATGTTTAACACAAGATTGAATGTTTAACACAAGACTGGATGTTTAACACAAGACTGAATGTTTAACACAAGACTGAATGTTTAACACAGGACTGAATGTTTAACGCAAGACTAAATGTTTAACACAAGACTGAATGTTTAACACAAGATTGAATGTTTAACACAAGACTGGATGTTTAATATAAGACTCAATGTTTAACACAAGATTGAATGTTTAACACAAGACTCAATGTTTAACGCAAGACTCAATGTTTAACACAAGAATGAATGTTTAACACAAGACTCAATGTTTAACACAAGACTGAATGTTTAACAAAAGACTGAATGTTTAACACAAGATTGTATGCTTAACACAAGACTGGAAGTTTAATATAAGACTGGATGTTTAATATAAGACTGGATGTTTAATATAAGACTGAATGTTGAACACAAGATTACATGCTTAATACCATACGTGTTGAGCAGCTCGTAGAAAGGGCGAGCAATGATCAATGGATCAATTCTAAGGTCATTGAAGGCTTAAAAAGAGTAGGTGAGTAACCAAACCTCAGACAAGCAAAAACAACACCAGCAAGCCGGGTGGATGGGACACCAGTACGCCGGGTGGATGGGACACTAGCACGCCGGGTGGATGGGACACCAGTACGCTGGGTGGATGGGACACCAGGACACCGGGTGGATGGGACACCAGCACGCCGGGTGGATGGGACACCAGCACGCCGGGTGAATGGGACACCAGCACGCCGGGTGGATGGGACACCAGCACGCCGGGTGGATGGGACACCAGCACGCCCGGTGGATGGGATACAAGAACCCTTGATAGGCGGGACCCCGGAACCCTGGGTGGATGGAACAACAGCATCTGAGTGTATGTGACTTGTTAAACCTGGGTTGCAAGCGGGTTGGGTGTCACACTAACAACCCGGTTTGGTGGTACAACAGCATCCCGAGAGCATGTGACTTTTTAACCCTGGGTGGCAACCCAATTAAGACAAGACGAACTCGGAATTTAAACACAGGGAAGGAGTCCCCTAGGCGGTATGACATTGACGTAATGAAAATTCCGGCAACTCCTGAGACGTGCAACGCATAAAGGGGTCAGTGAATTACGAGAAACACTGCTGTTCATCCACTGCGCAGCTCTCCTTCAATTTTTAACAAAAGGAAGCGCAAGTTAAGGCATTGGTGTTTCTTTGTTATGATTACGTAGCCTATCTTTTCAAATACCAACCACTTTTCTCATTTTAATATTAGAATAATAAACCATCCGTCTAGCCTGTGTGCACTAATTTCCTATATAAGTTAATTAATGTAAACGAGAATCCCTTAGATATCTAAGATCAAAATGATTTTGAGAACTATCATTTTCATTATTTTGAAAATTCTCTTTTTTTTTTAACCTTTTTTTCCTCAATTTATTAGTATTATTTTTGGGGGGTTCTAGTTTTAAAAAAAACAATTCTCATTGCTAAAGCGTCGTTTTAAGATAAAGTCTACGCATGTGGTAAAGAAAATGTTTTAAAGTATCTCGAAGAGGAAATTTGCTATTTATCTGAAGAAAGTTACACTAGTTCGAATTTCCAAATAAACATTTCAATCAATAGAATATTGGGAAATGTATGCTTTATCCTTATCCAAATTAACTTAGAAAAAAAAAATCACCCGTCAATACATACATGATGCCTTTTGTAAACATGCCATCAAACTAGGCCCATAGAGCATTCTCTACAAAACAATTTTTTTTGTTTTTGTTTGTTTGTTGTTGTTGTTTGTTTTGGTTCTTTTTGACGCTGGTAAAACATTTAAAATAATTAGCAAAGTTAATTGTTGAAAGTCCGGTGTTATGTTGTTTATTATTTTCATTTCCACTTAATCCAGGTCCACATAACGATAGTACAACTCGGAAAAAGAAATATGCC